ATATTCACACAATGGAATACTATGCTGCATTAAAGAACAAGGAACTCATGCAATATTATTAAAAATGGGTGAGCCTGGAGGACATTATGCTGAGTGAAATATTTCAGTCGTAAAAGGAAAAATATTGCATGGTGCCACTGCTGTAAAATGGGACTGATAGCAGGGTTGGGGTAAGACTGAGAAAAACTGCATAAATTGTGTATTCTGCACTGAAACAGATGAGGGACTGAGTAATTTTAAAGTGATGTATGATAGGGTATTATGGTTATCACAAGAGTCCACAATTAAGGTTGCATAGTGGAATGTACTTGGGGCGGTGGGAGGGGTGCGGAGGGATTGTGTACCAGGGAGGGAGTCTTTCTTTTACTTTTGAAAGAGAGGAGCGAACTGGGGGGGTGGGGAGAGAGGGCTGGGCGGGTAGAGAAATGCAGCAATGAATGAATGGAAATCCAGATTCTCTGTAAATGTTCATTAAAATTACTTTTAAAAATGTAGATTTGTTATATCTCCAGACTCAAAATTCCTGTCTTTCCAATACCTTCTCTTTGTGTTCAATCCAGTTTAAGTAGGTTTCTGTTATCTCTAGCATTAAGATTAAGATAGTTACTAGTAAGTGGGAGAGTCAGAGCTCAAACTCTAATCATCTTTCTCTACAGCCTGTTATTCAACAGGTAGACTATAACTGGGGCCAGGACACCTCCCCATAAGCCTGGCAAAGCCATAGAAATTTCCACTATTATAAAACAATGCCTTTGCGAGAAGGCACTAGGAGTTTCCTGTTATATGACACAAGTGTAATTCATTTTGGATAAAAAAATAATCTCATGCCTGGAATGTTCTATATTAACTAAAGGTTCACAACTGAATCAGATGATAAATATAGAAGATACACACTTTACTGAAAGAAATTTTTTGATAAATGCTTTAGCAAATCTAAGATCCTCCATAGTCTTTATAAATGCAGAGTTTCAGCCATGCTGGTATTGTGTGAGCTCTTAGTTATGGAACAACTTAAAAGAATTGCTCTACCTTCTACAATATTTTCTGACTTCTCATTGGCAGGAGTTGGGAAGACCTGTCTCACTGGATATTCCTTCCACAAAGGAGATATCTTTGGAGGCATATTCTACTCTTTCAAGACAAGTGGAATTGCTAAATTTTGTCAAAGTGCTGACTGAAAACAATTAGGGAACATTTTCACAAGAAATCACAGATTATATTAATCTAAAAAGATGGATTTTAGGATAGGATTAAAATAATCTAGAATTGTTATTATTGTTAGTTAATACTATCCAATTATAACTGAATCATAGGCGAGCCTCCAGTGGATCTTTATTCACATGGGAGGAGAATGCCGATCTTTCTCCCATGGAACAGCCAGCAGATTTTGAACCATGTGCTTTTGGGTTGGCAGTGTAACTCCTTAGGACTAGGTCACCGGAGTTCCACAGAGGAAGTTACAAATAAAGCGGAGCGTGCTGGGAATTTGGGGAAACACATTCTCCCTTTTACCTGTCCTTTTTAGGGTATCGTTCCCATACTCCAGGAATCTTTTCAGCCAAGCAATACATTCTGCCTCCAGCCAATTCCTCTGGTACTGTAACTCATGCCGGTTGGCCTCCCATGCCCGCTTGGTGATTTGAGCCACGCTGTCTACAGCTATCCAGGAGAGAGTGTCTTTATGAAAGATCAAGAAATCCTCTCCGTCATATGCATATTGGAGAAATCCCGTGGTGCTGCCATCCTCTAACAACTCACAGCCAATCATCCTCTGGTAAGTGTGAAACCCTGTAAGACACATGTAGGCGAGGGTAGGAGTTACACAGGGATAGAGGACACAGAAAGACCAGGTACAAAGACTCCCCTATCCCAGAGCTCAGCCCCTTGCAAGCCTGTCACAGCATCACAGATGCTCTAGGGAGCCTCTAGGGAGTTTCTGTTATATAAGCACTATCTATCAACAAATATTTACAGAAATACCAACTGCAGGTCAAAGGAGCATGATAATTCCTGTCTTGGGGAGTTAACCTGTAAGGAATTTGAGCAATTGATAAATCTTGTGGTTACCAGGAGAGCAGTAGCCAAAAGGTTGACTATTTGAATGCACCCAATAGCCAGAAAATAAAAAGGGAAGAACTTTCTCAGAATTTCTCAAGCTGAAAGAATGGAAAATCAAATTCAAGTTGCAATACTCAGTTGTTGTGGGTAAAATCTTGAATCATCCAAGAAGCATTCAAAGAAGATGGAGGGAATAAAAAGTCACTGTGCCAAAAAGGATTGGCCAACACTGAAATATTTCGGGAAGTACCATATGAATAAGAGTCAATGGTAATGAGGGAATAAGTTCAAACTGAACTGAAGCTTTGGTCAAAAATATAGCCCAAGGAACAGATAGGGTACCAATTGATTTTCCTGTCTGTGTCAGGAGATTTGGAAGACAAGTACCTGGCCAACTGACTGGAAGAGAGTCATATTTGCTCCCATTTCCAGGAAAGGTGATCCAAAAGATTGCGGAAATCATTGAACAATATAATTAATATCGCATGCAATCAAAATATTGCTGAAGATCATCCAAAAGTGGCTAGAACAGCATTTTGACCAAGAACTACCAGAAGTTCAGGCTAGGTTTAGAAAAAGCCTGGGTGCTATAGATATCATTGCTGATGTCGGATGGATCCTGACTGAGAGCAGATATTATCAGAAGAATGTCTATTTGTGCTTTATTGACTATGCAAAGGCATATGACCATGTGGATCATAACAAAACATAGCTAACACTGAGAAGAATGGAAACTCCAGAACACTTGATTATTCTCACCCATTGTGAAACCTGTATCTGTATGTCTATATTATGTTTCAACAAACCATATCTCAGATGTATGAAGGAGCTGTCCTCTATTTGAGTCTCCAACACTGTATAGGAGAAGAATATTGAAAAGCCCATGGACTGTCAAAAGAACAAATTTATGTCTTGGACAAAGTGAAGCCAAAGTGCTCCTTGGAGGCAAAGATGACAAAACTTCGTCTCTCGTACTTTGGACCCTTTATTAGGAGACATGCTATTCCTGGGAGAGAAACTTCATGCTTGGAAAGGTGGAGGGTCAGGGGGAAAAGAAGAACCTTAAGCAGATGACATGACATAGTGACTATTACAATGGACTCATGTGTGTCAGAGAGAATGAGTATGGCATAGGATAAGACAGGGTTCATATCTCTTGTTTATAGGGCCATTCTGAGTCACACTCAACTCAGTGGCATCTGACAACAACAACAGCTCTGGCGGCCTAAATGTTAAGGAGTTACACTATCAATCCAAAGGTAGGTGGTTCAAATCTCCCAGCTGCTTTGAAGAAAAAAGATGAGCAGTCTCCTCCTGTATGATTTACAGACTACAAAAACCTGCTGGAAGTTCAGCTATGAGTTGGTTCTGACTCTATGGCTTTGCGTTGTTGTTGGTGTTGTGTGCCATAGAGTCGCCTGTGACTCATAGCTACCCTATGTACAACAGCCCTAAATCCTGCTCTATCCTGTGCCAATCTCACTGTCTATGACACACCTAACCCCATTACCCCAGTTATTGAATCAATCCACTTCATAGAGAGTCTATCTCCTGCACTGTCCCTCCACCCTCCCAAGCATGATGTCCTTCTCCAAGGACTGGTCCCTCCTTGTATTATGTCCAAAGTATGTCAGATGAAGCTTCAGAATCCTTGCCTCCAAGAAGCAGCCTGGTTTAACCCTCTTCAGGATAAACCTGTTTTCTTAGCAGTCCATGGTATATTTGATATTCTTCTCCAACACCACAGCTCAAAGGCATCAATTCTCCTTTTATCCTCCCTAGTCACTGTCCAGCTCTCTGATGCAAAGCAGGTGATTGCAAAGACCATGGCCTGTATCAAGCACACCTTAGTCTCCAGAATGATACCATTGCTCTTCAGTACTTTGGAGAGGTCCCTAACAGCAGATTTTCCCCATCGGTATTTATGTCTTTTAATTTCCTGGCTGCTGGTTCCAAGAGTGTTGACCGTGGAGCCAAGCAAACTAAAGCTGTGAACAATCTCAATCTCTTCACCATCCATC